GATAAAAGTTTTTATGAATAGCATCAAAGCTACGCAATCATAATATTTAATCTATGATTATTTGATTTCAATTTCTAGCATTAAAATTTTTTACATAATAGCATAATTATAGTTCTTATGCTAACAATTGGTATTAGAGTCATGCTTTGAAATCAAATACCTTCAATCATAAAAGTATGTCAGATCTATTTTATATTTTAATATGTTTGTCAGCACCCTTTACTTGCGAAAAGGTGTTATCAGATTTTGATTATACGATACTAAATGATTCGTCTATGTTATCAATCTATTTTCCTATACCTTTTGTCCCGTCACCTGCTTACGGGTTATATAAGGTTCCTCATGTTTGATCGACGGACTACCATCAACAGCTTGCTATCGATAACAACATTATTGAGGGTAGCAGTCTCTGGTGATCGTCGACCCAATCGCAGGCAGTGATTGTGTACAAGTGCTGTTGTATGCAGCGGAAGCATGTGGAGTGCGACATGTGACAACCGACAGTATCACATGCATACCAGCGACTGCTTGTGTGTAGCAGCCTTGCCTTAGTCATAGGCATTTGCACACACAAGAGTGCTGCTTCCTGTGGCGGTTGTAGCATTGCCTTTGACTGGTAGCTATATCAATGTAGTTGAGTTATTTCTCATACAATTTATTCAATTTTATTTATTCTTAGTTTGACTTATTTAAAATTCATTATAATAAAATTAAGGATAAGAGAAACTTAAATGAGCTGACTAGTATATGTCTTTAGTAAGAATTAAGATTAAAGTAGAAAAAAATTATAATATCTTGGGTACTACTAAATGAGTGAGTAACAATAAAAAAAATAAAGTATAAATCATTTAAGTTTATAAATATAATATAAAATTATAAAAGAAAAATCTTCACAATAAATTGCTCCTTCTGTTACAAGAAAGGTTATGTGAAGAAGGACTATATGGTTTGGTTTAAAATGGAAAGGTACAAGTTTGACCTATGCCTAAAGACGATTCATTTGATAGATTTTGAGGATGCATGCTATGTCCCTATAATTTTATAAATTTAGTTTTTTTATCTAGAATTATCAAAATATTATTTCTCTGGTGATTGTAAACTCAGTATATTTATGATTCAATGAAAATTAACTTTTAAATTCTATATGATTGGTTATACATAATTAATATGAATCTTGAGTTTGCAACAATCCTGTAATCAAATATTAGAATAAAATATAGTTTTTTGAACTTCTTAAAATTATATATGCTTACATCTACGGATCACTCCATATTCCTTATTTTATTAGAGACTCAAATATTTTATCATCTCTATAGATAACTTGCTGAAATATAACTATGTATATCCAATTCATACAAAGTTTTAAGCTATTGACACATTTAGATGTACATAAAATAAAGTAAACAGATAATTAGATAGAAAGAATAAAATTATCAAATTTGAGATGAATAATAAATTTTATGGCAGATATGATGGTTCAAATCATAATTCCGATTTTTTTAATTTTTTTTTAATAAGATATTTCGTATGTTTTACCAAATGTGCCACAGTAAAATAAAATTACTAGAAAATAAAATCATACTTTTATAGATATGATTAAAAACATAATAAATTATTCTTATATACTCGAATCAATATGAGGAGAAGTTCTAAAGACGAATATATATATCTTGAATATGATTCCTAATAAGTCAATTTCACCAACTCTTTTGAGTTAATTTATAGACTAGTATGAAACTTAACTTAGACATTTACATATTTAAGATTGTCATGCAAAGATAAAGATCTTCAAATCATATGAAAAAAATATTAGATTCAAAAATTATTTTTTGATATTTTATTATTTATTCAAAAAAATTCAAGGGATATAGATTTTATTGTCTTAATAATAGTATAAAGATATTTGAATATGGTAATGTAGGATTCTTAGAAAAATAATAAATCAATGAGAGTAAAAATCCCAAAATTTAATCTTGAGAGATACAAGTTGACAAAGACGAATAACAAAATAACATTAATTTACTCCGTTATAATATTGATATCGTTTCTAATAAAAAGTTCTCCATGTGAAAGAGAAAGGAAAAAATTCCAACCCCAGTAAAATTAGTTTTTTATTATTATTTTTTATTATATAATAGTGCAACCAACTGCTGACAACTATCCAAATTAGAAAAAAATCTTAAGAAAATCTTGGTTTCAAATGGGACCATGCCAAATAACTCAATCAGCATGTCACAACCAGCTTGAACCGGTCAACACCGAAAGGTATGTATAAGTCTTGACCAGTTTGTCAAACTATGGTTTTCACTATATCTAAACAACACAGTAAACTCTATTTCTTGAATTGGACAAACTTATCTTTTTCAACCTTACAGCCGACATTAAATATTTGGTATCAACTGACGCTTGATTGTAAAATTTCCTGCAATATCAAATTAGAAATCAAGCATCAAAAGATTGTTTTTTGTCTCATCTTTCTGTATCCGATGCAGGACAGCAACAAAACAAATTCCTATGTTGTAATCCGTGTCGACATTTTTTATGAATCATAGCGTCGGATGCTACCGGAAACAAACTTCTGATTCGAGCAAAGAACAAAAAATATAGCTCCATAAACGGACGTTGGTGCTATTACCAGTTGCTAAAACATAAGAACGGGAGAAATTAACGGCTGAAAAAGGAGCGGATCGAGCACCAACCTTGGCGACATACTCCATCTCGGCAAATTTGAACGCGAGACCAAGGGAATCGAAGAGGATGGAGACGAGGGAGCAGGCGTCGGAGAAGGGAGCAAGGCGGAGGTCCCCGGAGCCGGCCTCGAGCAGTCTCGCGAGCTCCTCGAAGGCCTGCGCCACCGCGGCGAGGGGCGTCGCGGATCCGGCCACCTTGGGCGAATCGTCCGAGGGCGATTCCCTCCCCATGATCAGCCGAGAAACACCATCAGCTGCCAAAACGCGTCCGTAGAAAAAGGGAGGAGGCGAGGGGGTTCGGAGTGAATCAAACTCTCCCAACTTCTTCTTCTTCTTCTTCTTCCTCTTTGCTTTTGGGGGATGGGTGGGGGAAGGAGGAGGGCTGGGGTAAGTCGTCGAACACCTTTCTTTTTCTAATAAGAGGGACGGAGAAGAGAAAGCCGCGGCCGTTCCTACGAAGTCGTCACAAAAGCCGTTGCTTGATTGAAACCGTCCCTATTTTTTCCCCTCTCTTTTCCTCCTCTCACCGTACCTATTAATTTTTTGTCCCACTTATTACCTCCTCAATATGATTCCCCTTTCTTTCTTTTTCTTTTTCTTTTTCTTTTGTGATTTTTTTTATCTATTTTACGGCTATATATATATATATATATATATATATATATATATATATATATATATATGTTTGTAGACTTGTTAATTAAGGAAGTATTTTGGTCTTTCAATTGTGATGTTCAATCCAAACTCAATGACCGGAAAACTTCTTTCCTATTGGTTACTTTTGATAAGGGACCACTTGGTCAGTCTTGGTGCACCTTAGGGGTGCGAGGAATTATCCGTTTTGGATAGTAGGGATCCAACGGGGATCGAGCGTCCGCACGGTTTTGCCCTTTCAGAGCCACAAAGCTTCAAAAGGCGCCTCTCCTCCCTCTGGCCAGATGCCGGCCATAGGTCTTTATGTTACTGTACGTGAGTCGGTCGTACGCGGGTTGACGTGGTGGACGTGCTAAACAGTGTCTTGGTACAGATTCTAAGTTGGCGTGTCTTGGGGGTGGCGCCATCTCAGGATTCCCAAGATGTGACGTACCGAGCAATGCCTTAGTACGATCTCTGATCTGGCGTGTGACGTTGACTGTGATGTGTCTGGGATCCAAAATATGCCATATCAACTTTAATTAACTTTATTCTATTGTCCTTTCCCTGTCTATTATAATCTGTCGGTCACTTGGATGCCGATTCTCAATAGAATTGAAAAGATCATTAGAAAATTCCTTTGGTAAAAGAGCTCGAATCTTGTCCTTCAAAGAGCAACCGATGGAAGGAGGCGGCCCTGAGGTTTCTCATTTGGGCGATTGTGTCCTCGCAGAAGGTATTTTTTTCAAAGGGCAAAAAGAGCCTTTACAATGAGCTACTGTCAAAAGAGGGTCTTTTATGCCATGCAAGAAGAATTACAAAGAATATTGGTAGAGCTTGATGCAAAGGTTGTGGCTCAAATTTTGAGAAATTAATCGGACCAAGTATCACTAATGTTTCATTTGATTTATCACTTTTATGATATAATTATCTATTTATATTTTGAATATCATATTTTAAATATCATATCATTTCGATATATCGATCAACTATCGATTCAATACGTATCGAACTATACCAAAAGTATCGACACATGCCACATCGAACTATACCAAAAGTATCGACACATGCCACCAATATATCGCTCATATCGGTCTTCTATCAAATCGATACATGCCACCAATATCAAACAATACAATATTTCAAATCATTATATATATATATATATATATATATATATATATATATATATATATATATATATATATATATATACTTTATTAAAATTTATAAAAGAAATTTAGATATCTAATTTGAAATACTGATCACACTTAGCTCCAGGTAAGGATTAGCCAAGGATGGTTTTCTGACATTTTTTTTTTGTTGATCACTATGAAATCCAAAAAAAAAGGAGAGAAAATAGGGATTTTGGATTAATAATTTATAAAATTATAATAGAATAATAAGGAGTTCCTAAATGTAAAGATTTTATACATCTCACACAAGCATAAGCCGACAGGAAGACCAATAATTACATGTATCCCCAATGAAAAATAGGATACGAGAGACTCACCCTTTACTCAACCCAAAGAGACAAAAGGGAGAAGGGAGAAAGTTCATTGAAACAATAAGAGAATTTACACCTTTGAACATTTCTGTAGGTGGAAGAATGATCCAAATATCACGGATGCATCTTTTACATCTTTTAATATGGAAATTGCAACCATCGCACGCATGCATCAAAAGACCAAAGTACATTAAAGAAGAAAATATCACGGATGGAATAATGATCCAAATAGAATTTGATCACCAGATAGCCTCGGACACGCAGGAATTATGCATGCTACCTTCTGGTTACCAGCATCTTCCCAGCTACTAAAACCAAGTTGTCCATGATTAACCATACAGAATCATTTTTATCTCCCATTAGAACAAGCTAATAGATAACTATGATAGTAAAATACTGAAGGCAATCCAATCCCTAGAAAGTATCAGTTGGCTTTATGTTGTCCGCAACACAAAAGAAGAGAGGACAACCAAGAAGCACAAGATTCTCGCAACTACTTAAAAAGGGTACATCCTGTATCACCCATGAGGAAGTGTCGATTTCCAGATCACTGGCCCTCTCCTGATTCCTTCTTTGGAGCTTCTTTGATCTCATCAGCTCCATCCTCCTGGCAGGTAAAACCTAGTTAGATGGTACGCATAATAGAATGTCAGACAGAGATCAGCACCACCAAGGAGAGTAAACTGACCGTGATATCAGAGGTCCATAGTGTCAAGTTGTCTCGGAGAAGCTGCATGATCAACGTACTGTCCTTGTATGATTCTTCGCCCAAGGTGTCCAGTTCGGAGATAGCCTCATCAAAAGCCTGCAATTGCCATCAAAGTAGAAGTTTTAGGAAAAATGAAACCAGAAAATGCTTTGGCCGAGACAACCGGGACTTCTGCTGAACTGGTAAGACAGGAAAACATTGGATCAATGAATGTTTTAGAAACTGTTATCAAACATGTATCAGTTAAACCTAGAACTTAGTAACTCAATGGAAATGGTGATCAACAATCAACACTAGCTTTATGAACTACTGAAATGCATGGATCAAACAAGATGAGAACAGGAATATAAGTTATTAGGTAAGGCAAGCAGAGGTAATTCAACTTGATTCAACTGAAAGCACAAGAAATTGAGATGAGAGGACCTTATGAGTTAATCACCATAATCTTAAAGTAACTTTTTCCAACAGGCCACCCATCGGTCAGTGATCTCATTGACAATGAGTGTTTGATCTTTTGTCCATTAACCATGGCAAACAACAAAGACATTACGATCATTTCCACAATTTTTTCATTAGTTAGCAATCAAAACATATGTGGCTTGCATCTTGCTGTTCAAACATTCTGTGCTTGACATCAACATATGCAGAAAGGTAGTCTGTGGACATAGCCTTACATGTAATTTACTCCACATCTGGTGCCTCCACAGCATAGGTCGACACAACTCATTTCAAATTTGATATTATGATGCATAATTACATATCAGCATTTTGATGAGATTCACATTGAGCAAACTTTATGTGATTTAATTACCAGTGAGTAATCCTTTTTTTTTCCCTCAGGAATAAGCCATCCAGGTTAACATTTGGATGAAGGATTGTGTGTGTCAGTTCTTGCATCAGAAGCCTATCCTACTAGAAACAAGGCCCATAAAAGTAACATTTTTAGTCTAACGCATAACAGCAGCAACAATGAAAGAAATTAATAAGTAGAAGAATGGCAATGAAATAGCTAACAAAGGGAACTAGGGACTCAACCTTTTGCAACAACCAAATATCTCACTTCTTACGAATCATAACTTTGAAATAACATCAACCAACCCCCAGCTTCATACATGGTACCAATTGAACCTTTACAAAGAAAAAATCAACCACCATTCACCTACTCACCTAAGTGGAAACAGAATCATTTCCCAACACAAGCACCAAACTTTGACAAAACATTCTGTAATACACCTAAAATAACTTTCCTAATGTGTGCTATCGACTGGATAACATTAAAAGCCACATCAATATAAAAAAGTGACAAAAGTGTGCCCAGTGCACAAGGCTCCCATTAATTCACGCCGGTCTAGGGAGTATTAGTGTACACAGCTTTACGCCAACAAGCAGATAGTGTATTTAACGTGATTTGAATTATGGTCATGAAGCAATCTTTACCATAATATCACCACATTAATATGACCTAAATTTACGACCAACCAATGGAATCTCTAACAGTGTGAATGTATATGGAACCTGAATTACATTATTAATTGAAGTGTTCACCCGCATTTGCAACCAAACTACATAAACACAATGATAACATGGTTCAAAATCAATTATATATGTAATATTGTGAAGTCACGTAATATGCTCCGCTTCTAGACCTAGACAATATATCATATTTGATGATATGTTGATTTTACATGAATTTCCCTTACAAAAACACAATTTCTTTACTAACAATAATAAGAGCTGAAAAAATAAAAGAAATTTATTCAAATCTTTAGTCATATGAAAAAGCAATTAGTGAATCATCACATCCAGGTCGTATGACTAAAACAACTGGCGATGCATGGCTAAAACATCTAAGCAGAAAAAAAATTAAATAACTTGCGTTATAGGCTCCTTTACAATAACTATCAAGATGATGTGCCAAAAGTACCAAATTAATTGTCCAAATAAGAAATTATGGTCCATTTTCACACCAATGCAATTATGATGCAGTTTTAAACACCCAATAATATTATTCTGAGGTATTAACATGACAAAGTTCTATAATGGCTGTAATTCAAATTATATATCAAAAACCATAATATATACTAAAGAATAAAATGTTAGCATATGTGAAATTCAAGAACTGAAATAATATAGACTATAGAGTTCTTAAACCAAAGCTTTTCATAATTCTAATTGTTGATTAAAGGAGAAAGAAAGGCAAGAATGATTTGTCACGTAGCACAACCTAGGTATCAAATTGAATACAAGAACTAGAAGATGCAGCAACCTAATTATATGCATCTATGAGTCTGCATGTGCATTTACAGGTACATTTAAGAATGTTCACGATTACCTATATAAAAATGTGACTCATTTAAGAATGTAAATACTTAAATGTACATTTACAAGTACATTTAAGTATTTGCATGAACACCATTGGATGAGTGCCTATAGTATATTATTGTAACATTTAAGTAGCATAAAGACTAACATGGATAAGGAAGCAGAGTGACTGAAATATATGTTTGGTCAATAAAATAAAGAACAACTAAGTTAAAAGACAAGTTGGTGAGCTTCATGGAGCCATTATCTTTGTATATATCATGTCTGAAAGAAGCAGTGACATGGAGCAATACTGGAGCATAAATGAGCACAGGATGGGAGGTGGAAGGATGCCAATGCAGAATATCAAAGGTACAAGGAAAATAGAGTAAGTCTTCTAGTTGACTACAAAGCAGAAATCCATATTAAATCACACCTTAGAAAGTTACACCAAACCTTTGTTATAAGCATAATCCAACTCCAATGGATCTCTCATTAAAGAAGCATCACAGAATAAGGCTTCCTTTGTAGAAAAAGTGTATTCCCATAAAATCCTATGAAAAGAGTTATCTAGATCAAACATAGCTCATAAGCATCATTTGGCTCCAAGAATATGCTAGAATTATCTCCAAGAAAAAAAGAGGACAATAAGATAAGAATTTTCCATAAAAGTTAAAACCAAGACTCTAACTAGTCAAACAGAGTCTAACTAGTCCAACACAAAAAATCAGCTAGATTTGAACTTCAAACTAAACCAATTTATCATCATTTTAGTTATGCTTCAGGTTATGTCACTGAAGATTATTGAATCCCCAACTTTAATTTTAAAAATATCGATGTTCATTCCATGCACCTCATATGATTTATTATTTTCCAATTTGGAAAAGTTATGTTTTTCCAGCATAACATATAAACGCAAAAGTAAAACATCACATCAACTCAGGTACATAACGAATGATTGTGGAATGTCAATTGAGCATCACAATATACTGTAAAAGAAGAGGGATCTGTGAGATAAACCTGTTTTGCAAGGCTGCAAGCACGGTCTGGTGAGTTAAGAATCTCATAATAGAACACAGAGAAGTTGAGTGCCAGCCCCAGCCTTATAGGATGAGTAGGAGCCAGATCAGCTAAAGCAATATCCTGTTATAAGTTCTGCCAAATGTCACTATTTGGAAGCAAAATTTACAAGAATGACTTGAAAAAGAAATAGTAAATATGTTTTCCCAGAAGAAAAAATATGCAATCATCAGTATTGCAACAACATATATGTTTGGTATCTATGGGAAGAAAAGAACTTTATCGAACCAAGACAATTACTGAAAAGAAGTAACTCAAAGAAGTGCCTAAAATTTAAAAGAAACCAAACAATAAATAATGATTGAAAACCAAGACTACATCAGCAAAACAGATCCCTTATAGTTCATCCATAATTGAGTCTTGAACTAATATCATTGCATAATATTAAAGAACTGATGCCATCATTGTGGTCCACAGTTCACTGGTTCTTTCCCTAATCTACCTTGCATAAGTTAGTACGCATGCTTCTGTTTTAGCTAAAAAATTTGTCTATGAAAGATACTATATTTCCTTAGCATCATGCGGGGGTATTTCAAACGGAGATGGCAAAGAACTAAGGATCGGCATGAAATTAATATATGAATGTGGAGTACCTGTGCAGATTTGTAAGCCAAAAGAGTGCTCTCAGCTGCTTCTTTCCTCTCAGCTCCAGTCTTGAACTCTGCCAAGTACCTAAGCAGAAAAACAAAACAAGATTATCGTTACCACCAAATAAAAAAAAAAAGTAGGAAGTACAAATATATCTACTTTTTTTTTCTTAAGAGGAATATGTTTCATCTAACCTGTGGTAGTCACCCTTCATCTTAAGGTAAAACACCTTGGACTCAGCGGTGGTGGCGGAGGGGACGAGGTGGGTGTCAAGCAGCTTCAGGATTCCATCGCAGATTTTGCTGAGCTCGGCCTCGACCTTGCTGCGGTACTCCTTGATCAAGGTGACGTGATCCTCGTTCCCGCGGCTCTCCTCCTTCTGCTCGATGGAGGAGATGATACGCCAGGACGCGCGGCGAGCTCCAATCACGTTCTTGTAGGCCACCGAGAGGAGGTTGCGCTCCTCCACCGTGAGCTCCTCCCCGTTTATCGTCTTCACGACGGTCTCCATGAACTCCACCATCTCCTCGTACCGCTCCGCCTGCTCCGCCAGCTTGGCCATGTACACATTCTCCTCGCGGGGCGACTCCACCGGTGACATTTTGATAGATCTCAACGAAGATGTCGACTCTGGCGAATTATGAACGCAGATCGACATCAAAATGACATTTTTACGCCGTTTATTTAGGCCCAAAATCAAGCAAAAAAAAACAAAAACAAAATAAAAAGGTGCTTGAATAAAACAATTTCAAAAAAGAGCGAGAAAGGAAAACAAATCAGATACAAACGAATCCATCAATTGGGAGGATCTAAAAGTTCTTGCTCAACGAAAACAAAACAGTTCGATTCAAGGAAACGTTACCAAGAAGCAGAGTTTGCAGAGAAACCAAAACATAGATAAGAGATGATATGCTTAGATTCATCATCAAAAGATTTCAAAATGAAACTGTTCGAATATAACACCACAGAAAAGAAAACCGTGCAGTACAGGAATCCGTCAAGAAATATGAAGCGGAAAAACGGCCAGATCACACGAAATGACGGCGGAAGCACGGCCCTTCACAGAGGCAACCGAGGAGCTTAGGGTTCCTCTTGCTTACCTTTTTCTCTCGCTTTCTCTGTGCACACCGCTCAATCGGTAGCTAACGTTGCCTCGGGTTATTTAGGGCGACAGGGGAATGCATTGATGAGGAAACAAAGGGCGGCATTGTTCTTACCTTTTCCTGACGCACCCGCTGACCAACCTCAGGAGCGCCCGCGTTTGCAACCAATCAGAAAACTGGTAAACAAAGAAGTAGAAACGATCGGTACAAATGATATCATGATCGGTGAGTGCTATCGGGTGGTCCTTCGGAGGAGGAGGATCGAACACGTGGAAGGAACACGGGGATGGCATCCGGTGGCCCGCCCATCAGCTGGACCACGCGGAACGCGGGCTGCCTGATTCGCCCGATGCCGTGATACCAAATTGACCGACAGCCCGCATCATGCGGCCACGGAAAGCGACGGCCCCGCCCGAGACGGGGAACAGGATTCCCGGATCGCTCCCTACGTCCGCGATGATGTCATGACACATGGGCCGAGCCGCTTCCCGTGAGCCCGTATCCCTGAATCACGGCTCGAGTCACGACCGATGACAAGTGAGTTGTAGCTAACCACGATTAATAGGTTTGGTCTCAATGCACGTACAGAAATAGGTGCAGCAACGGTGGGACTATAATTGGGCCTCATGGCCCAGCCCATAGAACAACGATAGCAGGCTTCACGGCCGGCTGGCTAAATTACCACACGAAGGCGGCGCGCGTGGGCAGCAGGTCTCCAGAAAACCCTAACAGGCCGCCGCGCTCTGATCTCATGGCGGTGCTGCAGTTCTTCCCACCTTCGTCGCCGATCGTGTCGGCGAGGCTGCACCCTGTCGTCCTCTTCAACATCTGCGATTGCTACGTCCGGCGCCCCGACCAGGCGGACCGTGTCATCGGAACCCTCCTCGGCTCCGTCTCCGATGGCGTCGTCGAGATCAAGAACTCCTATGCCGTCCCCCACAACGAGTCCGCCGACCAGGTGCGCCCCATTAGTCCTCCCTTGGTTCCAGTCCTTAGTTTTTATCCTTACTTACCTTCTCGACATCGCAACTGAAATAAAATATGATATTTGATCTTAGATATTGATGGATATGCTGTAAGAGGATTAATTCGAAATCGTTCTTCATTTGTTAGATATTTTCCCGATTAGATGATCTGTAGTTTCAGCACTTTCAGTAAGGATTCATCACCAGTTGTACACGTTGATACTAAGCAATATTATTTTCTAAAACTTAATATTGCACAAACTGTTTTCTAACATAATTTGGTAAACATTCTTCAGTTTTGTAACTGGGCATCTTGATGTTCTATTCTTCTTCTCTGCTTCTTAAATAACTACCTTGAGGAACTTTATTATTTTAGTAGTTCTTATAGAAAATTTTGAGGGAAATTCTACTTGTCAACATTGGCAAATCTATACTTGAAACTTTGAAGCAGTGTAGTTATTCTGTCAACAACCAAATATATTTTAGCAGAATCACAATAATGGAAAGCACAATATATGTGCTCAAATTTATCTTGATTTCCGTATGAAAGTTGTTATATATTTGGGTTTTTGTTGGCAATTTGAAGTTTTAAAGTTGAGATATGAATGTTACACTGATTGTCTTGCTTCATGCCATTTTATTTTGGTTTCCAAGAGTTATCACTAAGTAAATTCCATCGTACGGATCTGCCTGCAGATTGTTGGTTTGTTTTCTTTTTTTCCTAAACTTCAATGTTGTCCTTAACATGCCTTCTACCTCAGGTTGCGTTGGATGTTGAGTACCATCGGAACATGTATATGTCCCACCTAAAGGTGAATCCCAAGGAAGTACTTGTTGGATGGTAAATGCCTCTCTGTTTGAATAGCCATGATTTTCTGGCATTTCTTTTGCTTTGCATGTATAATTAAATATTTCATGCACAGCTGCATTTGAGGTATCCTTGTACTCTTGCAACTATAATCATGTTTTTTTTTATTTTCTCATGGTCTTTTTTCATCTAGAAGTAAATATGTCATCGGAAGATTTACTTCTTAGGGTAATGAAGTGTTTTAGTTTGGGTTAGTTACTATCGATTTGTTTTAGTTCAATGGACGGCTGTAATTTCTTTTCAAATTTGTATCTTTCTTTTATATGTAACTATATCAATTTAGAACAACAATTTTTAGGATTAGTTATTTTTACCTTCAAATTATTCTTGCTGGCAATTCGTGGTAGTAGCTAACAATTATTTATTCGAACTGTTTCGTAGTAATGATTATGATTATGTCCTAATGTATTTTGCATTTTGTAACTATCAGATTTACTAAAGATATCTCTAGTCACAACCTTTTTTATAGGTCTCCTCCAGCACATTTGTATCTTGGTAGTTTGTATTCTCAGACATGTTCTGGCGGAGAATATGATTCTCATATAACTTGAATATTCTTTGAGTTTTTTGTGATGGATTTAATGTTGTGTATATCAGGTATTTATCAGTGGTTCCTTTTTTGTTTTGCTGAACCAGATTTGTTTTTTGTTTTGCCTTTTCTTTTCTCAGCTCACTACCTTTTATTATGCTTTTGTCACAGTTTTATCAATTACTCTCAGTGTATTTTCTTACTTTTTCTACCTTTGTATACATACTTTCAATTTTTTTACTTTTTTTATATGTATATATTATAAGATACCACTTTTTAATTTTTATAAAGAATATTATGGAAAAATCAAATTCTTGTTGACAGTTTTATTGGTTTCCTATAAAGAATATGTTGCTTATGTGCTTATCAAGTCATATGACTGAACCATAATGGACCTACATAGCTTCAATATTTATCTGACTGCATATGCAGGCCCAATTCTTACTGTTGAATTTTGACTCCGCAATTGGGAATGTGTTGCTGTTGGGGGTGCCTCCATATGTGTCATGTAATGATCTATGTTCATGTGTTTTTTAACAACCTTTTGCACTTTGCTACCAACCCAACTCTTGTCTCAGTCTGATATGGGACCTGCTGTGATTGTGCTGATTGGTTTAGACTTTTGATTTATGTATTTAGTTTAGTTGATTTTAAATTTCAAGCATGAGCAGATGTTTTGTTTTCGTAAGCTTTCAAGTTACAGATAATATGGTTAGGCTTGTTTGTGTTTCTTCAAAGAACATAATGATGTGTATTGCTACCTTAATGATGTGCGTTGTTCAGGTTTTCAACTGGCTTCGGTGTTTCTGGTGGGAGCTCATTAATACATGACTTCTATGTAAAGGAACTTAAAGATTCTGTAAAAGATCTTAAGGATGCACAGAATTCTGTTCCCCCTCTTCATCTTACTGTTGATACTGGATTCAGAAATGGAGAGGCTTCAATAAAAGCATATGTATCAGTTAATTTGTCTCTTGGAGATAGGCCACTTGCAGCACAATTTCAAGAAATTCCTTTGGATTTGAGGATGATTGAGGCAGAACGAGTTGGATGTATGACTTTTACTTGAAATACTTTTGACATTCCACATTTCTATCTTGTAAATGTTGGACACATGTCTGAATATACCTTGGTCGCTAGATATGCTATGTTTTTTATACATGCTTATGTGGCTGAATTTGTGGGATAAGCCTCATCCCTGCTGACTCACTTTTTCTAGTAAGCCTTTGTTATTCAAATCCTTTGTTTCACCAAAGGTCACTTCTTTACATGCTGTTAATGGAACCTCTTAAACATTGGTAGATCATACTGTTATCTAAATGGTAAATTCATGTAGAATAGATTGAGGTTCATGGTTTGATTTGTTTATATTTTAAGATTCCTTTTTTATTACATCAGGTTCATTTGCACTTCAAGATAATTTGGAGAAATAATCCCTGCCTGGATAAATAAGGTCCCTGGTAGCTTATATATGGACATGCATATATACACTCATTTTGAACTGGTATAGATCTCATTGTAGGTCTTTTGGCAGCAGACTTGACCATAAATGTTGTATCCTGCTGAGAGTTGTGGGCTCCCTCCCTTCTATCTTCCCCTCTCCCTCCATGTATATATACAAATTACACACAAATTATCTCTGCTTTCATCTTGTATGGATTGGTAACAAGTCATCTTAGCATCCCTGCATGTATGTAGAGAAGATTTTGCATTTAGAAGTTCATTTAGTTTGTTTCATTCATATGGTTTGAAATTTTCTTTTAATGACTAACAATGTGATGTTTTCCTTCTGGACTATCAAGTAAATTTAGTTTACATTTGTATTGGTGTTAAAGTTAGTTATATTTTCTTTCTTAATTTCAACAGTAAGCTATTTGACTCATGCATTTTCATACTGGAAGTGATGTTGAAAACAAACTAAAAAAGATGATGGCATAGTGCAAAACACTTCTGCCAATGCAAGTTTTGGAAGGATCAATTTATGCTACAAACTAAGTGCTATGTTTTTTTGTCATTGCAGTTGACATCTTGAAGACAACTGTTGTCGACAAGCTTCCGAATGACTTGGAGGGAATGGAAGCTTCAATGGAGAGATTGTATGCACTGATTGATGATATCTATAAATATGTTGATGATGTTGTGGTAAGAGTCTCTATGACATTTTCTTTTTCTTGTCTAAGACCTAAGTGTTCCAATATTTATTAGGAAGGACGTGCAGCCCCGGATAATGATATCGGGAGATTTCTCGCTGACACTTTGGCTTTGGTTCCAAAAATTTCACCAGCAGCTTTTGACAAGGTTTTCAATGACAGAATTCAGGTGGAGGCTTCTTTCCATCTGAAAAGGCCCTGATAAGAAATGTTCACCATCTTTTGCATTACTTAAATGAACTCTTTTCTCTTCATTACAGGATAATCTTGCATTGGTATACTTGTCAAGCCTCATTAGGGCACAGCTCGGCATTGCAGAAAAACTGAACACAGCTGCTCAGATACTGTAACTCACCTTTTGTTTCCAAAAGAAGCTGCCAATATGTTGTCTGTTTAAACCAAGTAGACATTATTAATTGCGGAGATTTACAGTCAGGCAGTTAGTGGTATTATCAGATATATACTGTTTTCAAGTTTTGGTGAAAGGATTCCTCCCTGATGATATTTCTGCACTGGATCATTTTTAACATTGTATCATATTTGGTTTTCTGATGCCATCTCTTCATGTCCCAGAAGCCGCCTACTCTTTTGTAGGCATTACTTTTCACTTAGTGCTTTGTGATATCTAGTTTAATTTATTTCATAGTTACTTTGGCATACAAAATTTATAGTTAAGAAAGTGCTGTGTGATAAAAAATTTAGCATTCTAATCTTTAGATTTAAAATATTTATATTAAAATTTTTATAATTACGAAAGTGTAATATTTAATTTTATTTATTTTAATATTGTTAGTTTTATTGATGAAAAATATGATAACATAAATAGTACAAAAGTGATGAATAAAAAGATAATTTCATTAGTGGTGGTAGATGGTGGTGGTTGTGACGGTGGTCGACGAGAACGATACGGTGGTCAGTTTTATCGATATTGATTTGAATATTGATGATGAAGAGGAAGAAGAGAAAAAACGATGAGGCATTGACATTGGAGGAGGAAGAAGAGGGAGGTGAGGTATTGATGATGAAGAGGAAGAAGAGAAAAAACGATGAGGCATTGACATTGGAGGAGGAAGAAGAGGGAGGTGAGGTAGAAAAAAACGATGAGGCATTGACATTGGAGGAGGAAGAAGAGGGAGGTGAGGTATTGATGATGAAGAGGAAGAAGAGAAAAAACGATGAGGCATTGACATTGGAGGAGGAAGAAGAGGGAGGTGAGGTATCTATATTGATGTTGCACTGCTCTGTCTTCTTTTCCTCTTTTGGTGTCGTTTTGTATTTGCGTTGATGTTGGAGGAGGTAGGTGAGGTATTTTGTGTCGACATTGTATCACTTTGCCTCTTTCTTCTTTAGCGTCATTTTGCATTTATATCGACATCGAACGAGGAAAAAGAGACAGGTGAGGCATCTATGTCGTTGACGATGAGGGAGGAAGAAGGAAGAGGAGGTAGGTGAGGCAGAGTTGTGCCTCGTAGATGCCTCACCTGCCTCTTCCTCCTCCGATGTCGCATCGCTCTACCTCCTCTTCCTCCTCCCTTCTCATCATTAGTGATACTGATATCTCACCTGGCTCCTCCTTTGGCATCGGCACAAATGTAGAGTAGCATCGAAGGAGGAAGAGGAAGTAGAGCAGTAGGTGCACCAACGCAAATGCCTCACCTCCCTCATCTTCCTCCTCTGTCATCGACATAATATTTCACCACCTTGCCTCAAATTCCTCCTCGTTATCAATGTTTGGATTGACATTGATAAGATCGACCATCGCGTCATTCTCATCGACCACCACTACAATAGTCACCCATGGTGCAATCATTCATCACCATCGTTATAATTATCTTTTGGTCCATTATTTTCGTATCATTCATGCATGTATTATCACATGCTATATCTCTCCTCAATAAAGCTAATAATATTATGATAAATAAAATTAAATATTTTAATTTTATAACTATAAATATCTCAATATAAATTTTTTAAATTTAAAATTTAAGAGACTAAAAAAATATAATTATAAGAGATAATACATAATTAGTTTGAAAAAAATATGATGCTAATAATCTATAATTCAAATAAGGTTCTGAACTAGACCAGTTTGTGTTGGTTTTTAATCTTAGTTTAATGATAAATTTATTGTATTTAAAGAAGAATAGATTGTATATGATCGCTTGAGCACATCTCGGAGGCAAACATGGAGAGAAATTGGCAAGGCAACTGTTTAGTAACATGATGCAATAATGGCAATAATTAGTTAATTTGATAAGATGCATACTAAAAGGGATTTATATAACTAAATAAGCTCAATTAAGCAAGAGTTTGAGATGAGTTATAGATTTGGTGGTGGAATGATGCAACTTTCACTGCATAGGCTAAGGCTAATTATATATTAGCCTTGTAGTTAGACCTTCGTAGCTTTCCATACCTACATCAAAAATTTATATTGAAATATCTATAATTATATAAAAGTAAAATATTTAGTTTTATTTATCGTAATGTTATCGGTTTTACCGACGAAAACATAAAAACAATAGACATAAAAATAATTTCAACGTTTTAATTATATTTTCGGTGATGACGAACGACGACGTTACTGGAGCCGTTAGTGACTATTGTAAATAATGAGAGAGAGTGACAATGAGAGATGAGACAAAAGGAGAGGAAGAAGAGGACAACACAAATGCAAAGCGGCGTCGCCCTTCCTTGCATTAGTGTCGGTGCCAATGTAGATGGATGTAGAGTAGTGTCACTCTACATCTGCATCTACGTCGGCATCGATATAGATGTCGAGTGATACTCTGCATCTATATGTGCAACTGCGTCGACGTAGATGTCAAGCGACACTTTGCATCTACATCTACGTTGGCGCCAAATGTAGAGCATCAATATATGTGTCGTCCTCTTCCTCCTCTCTCTTTCTCTCACCTCTTCGTCGTTCTTCCTATTCATCCGCAACAATCACCCGCGACCCCTAGCAACGTCACCATCCGCCATCATCGAAAACATAACTAGAGCATTGAAATTATTTTTTTATCCATTGCTTTCGTGTTTTCGTCGGTAAAACACACGACATTAGAATAAATGAAACTATATGTTTTACTTTCATAACTATATAAATCTTAATGTAAATTTTTGAGGTCCTAAAGATATCTAAATGCAAGGGATAATATATAATTAGCCCCATAATCTTACAAATACTAAATGTAATATTATCTTTATAGGGGGTTATTTAAAAGCCTAACAATGAAAACATCTTTCATAACAAAAACCCTTCTATCAAACAAAGGGGTGTGAGCTCAAGCTATTGCCTTTAACTAGTTATTGTGCTAGAAATATCATCTTTGCAGGGAGGAACTTGTGCCATCTTATTCAAAAATGTTCAATGGCACTTGGAAGGATGGACTGAGACCAATGCTAATGGGTTTGTATTGTTCAAGGTGAAGTAGGCTTCATTCTCACAGATGCAGATGGACAATGCAAAATGGCGGATCAGAGATATAGCTACAGCAGAATCCATTAACAATGTGAAGTTTTGCAAGGCAGAGGTCTACTTAAAAGGCTAAAGCATCGGAATGGGGACTTGTAATGAGTCCAACTTGAGACAGATTCCTGCCATATTAAGAACATTCAGATAGATGGGAGAATTCCACCTTGCAAGATTCAATATGTTATCTCACATGTCAATTTTGAAAATTATGTTTACAGAAAATATACTCATATCAAGCAGTAAATTGGCTTATATTCAACATGATAAGTCGAAGGATTCTTTTTTCCTATGATCACTGATCATGTAGGGTCATGAAAAAGCAACCTAACTCTGATAAATTCTTTTCCTATTATCACTGTGTTTAAGCATTTCCACTGAAGTAATGCTTCCTACAAAGTGATGATGCATGCATTCATGCGGTCTCAACACCGTATTTTCACTAAATACATAACTTGTTTTCCAAGAGAGCAAACAAACAGGGAATGTGATTTTTCATGATGATGTTGTTTGGTTGATATTTTCTAGCTTTATGCAACATCAAAGAGAGAAGTCTACAATTAGGATGGAGGAAATGATATCAACAGTCAAGGAAGAGCCTCCAACCATAGAGTTGTGATGTTGATCTGCTGTTAATAGAACAGGGTGCAGGAGGCAGGAGCATTACAGTACAACAGACTTTATATCTTAGAATTTTGGCTGGCCTTAAGAGAGAGAAGAGCAAATAGAGAAGCCTGGAAAAGGCTGACCAAAAGGGTTAGAGAGAGAAGAAAATAGAAGTAGAAAAACAAGAGGATAACAATAGCTATTTCTTACTGTGGAGGAAAAGAAGAGGAGGCCAAAACAAGTGTTAAAGTGCAGAAGATGAGAGGATTGCTGGCCTTAAAGATCATGTCAGAGTTGAATCAGCCAGGTATTTATTCAGAGCTCGGGTTAGTTTTAGAAAAACTATGGGACAGATCTTGACAGATTATTAAGCAATAAATAAAAACCTACAGCAGCCGAAAGATACAATAAAAAACCAATCGACCGTCGCATTATAAAGATGGCACATCAGAATCAAACTAATGATTGCCAAACTTCAGAATCCAAACTAATATCATATCCTGAACTAAACCTGACTCATATTGGTCAAATTTAACAAATTAAGACTAACATTAATGCTCAAACTAAAACCAACAGAATAAGACTTTGCTCATCAGAGCTGCCATAATTTTTTTACTTATTTAAGCTAAAGTGCCATAAATTTTTGGTTAGCAGCAAACTAGGACATATTCCATAGGACTACATAAATAGATATCCAGAATTATCCAAAATTGATGTTCTAATGATCTCATTCATTTCATCCATATTATTAAGCATGAAGAGAGTGAAAATAACCCTTTTGAATCCAGTATTTTGAAAGACATGGATTCATTCTAAATGAAGATTTAGTTAGTACCAAGGTCTGCCATACCGAATCATACCGCCCGGTACGGGCGGTACGTATCGGTCCGACAGGCTACCGGTACGAGGACCGTCCGCTATCGAACAGATCGTGCTACAGTGTACACTGTAGCAGTGCTACAGTACTGGTGTACCATTCGGTACACCCTAGTGTACCGCTCAGTACACTGGTACCGTACCGTACCGAGCCAACTTCGAAACACCGGTACGATACGGTATTGCATACCTTGGTTAGTACACCTCCATATATTGTTTAACCATTCAACTTGTTTGAGATAGAATGTCTAAACAAAGTATTAAACACATTGAGGAGACATCTAACAAGTTTTTGCATCTTATAGTGTCTCGAATATCTGTATGGTCACAAAAACATGCTTCACAACTACCAATATGATTTCCCCGCAATCACCTAGTAAAAGAATGGGTGGGATTTCTAAGTTATACATAGTATTTCAGGATGCTACATCACCCGAGCAAGGCAAATTAGAGGCTTTTATGTCACCCTGTAATTTTTTGCAATGGTAATATTTGATAGATCAAGAACCAAATACTATTGTAATGATTATGACTAAAACCTAGAAACTATTCTAAATAAATCGTGATCACTCAGACAATTTTCATTGTTACTTTTGTCTAGCGATCATGTAATTATCAATCTACTCAAATTTTGAATATTAAGCACATGAAAAAGAAACCATCCTTCTTGTAAGAAAGATTAAGTTTCTTTTTCTTCTAAGCCCTTCTCCAAAGGAGTCCTTCAGTACTTCATTTATGAAGGCAACATGGAATTATGAAATTGATTACAACAATGCTAGGTGGAGAGTGGGTTCTTTTTTTTCTTGTGGCCCATAGAATTGCCACTTTCCTGCAGAAACTCACTAGGAGAGACGATCCATAGCTTAACCACATTTACTTTGGCTTCACCAACCAGTGGCCTCTGTTTAACATGCAGAATGAATGGTCAAAGTATCTCATCTTGGATTGTCCCTTTTCAGTCAAACTATCGGACTACATGCACCACCATCACCTTGATAACACTATCCTTTGAATATGTTCTCTCTTAATTGTCCAACATTCTGATAATTGCACAACCATCTGCATAACTGTCTCTATTTTGCTCAATTTTCCATAATACCATAAGCCATACCTTCTTCAGGTTAAATATAAAATCTAACCAACATTTTTGAAGTCTTTAAATGTTTGGAACTTCTCATTCACTTATTGATACTATAGTGCTGAAGTTACAGTTCTCGCATGCGGCATAAATTCTACATAGTCTAGAAATCTTATCAGAAGTTCAACACAAAATCACAACTCAAAAGAGCAATACAGATTTAAAAATACTCAAAAAAGTTTCAAGACAGTAAAGCAATAAATATTTCAGTGCTAAAATAAGAACATACTTATGATACAATTGTCATCTTGTAGGATTCTCGAACAAGTGTCGGAGCATATCCAAGTTCAAGCTGAACGAACTAATATGTTTTGGCTGAATGCAAGAGAATTTCCAAGTAGGTATGCCATTATTATATAAACTCCAAATATTTAAATCTGTATTTTATTTCAAAAGACCACCACAAGAAAAATCATATAGACAATCTAGAATCATTCAGGAATTCCAAATTAATCCAAGTCTTCCACTACTCTTTTCTTGAAGCAGCAAACGTTTACGAGAACTCACTTTTCTTTCATTCTAACATCACAGGAATTTCTTGTAATTAGCAGATAAGCAATATGCCCAAATAACAAGAGATATCTTCTGTTCTAAATTAAAATTCAGTAGCATAAAAGACTAGTCTTTTTTATGAAGAAAGAAGGCATCAGAGCATGAAGCATTGGAGTCAATAAAACACTTACCTGATGGTCTTGTACAACATACAAGAAACCCACGTCCCCTCCATTCCCATCAACTTGATTCCAGGAAGAAAACGTCAATCTGTCCAAATAATTAGCAATTTCATAGCCCAATCACTCAGACAAATCCCACTTCAGTAA